TGTTTTGAGAACAAGAGGGCTTGGCAGGGGGCGGGGGGCGGGCTAAGCGACCGAACCGCTGTTCCCCACCCAGCAGCTCTCCAGATGAGCAGGGCTGGCTGGGCAAGATGGGAGTTGGAGTCTCAAACATCTGGAGGTTCAGGAGGGCCTTCCTGCCAGCCAGGGGGCTGATCACCTCCCTTCTGAGTCTAATATGGTATTTTTCTCCCTTCCTTCCTTCCTTTCCTTCCTTCCTTTCTTCCTCCTGCTCCCTCCCTTCTTTTCTCTCCTCCCTCTTTTTTTCTTCCTTCCTTCCTTCCTTCCTTCCTTCCTTCCTTCCTTCCCCTTCCTTTTTCTCCTTTCTCCCCTTTCTTTCTTTCTTTCTTTCTTTCTTTCTTTCTTTCTGTCTTTCTTTCCTTCCTTCCTTCTTTATTTCATATTTTATTTATTTCTGAGATTTGTCAATCACTTACAAGACAATAGATATAAGTACAAACATGAGTAAATAGGTAGGAATTAATGGGGACAATAGGACAGGGACGGTAGGCACAATGGTGCGCTTATGCACGCCCCTTACAGACCTCTTAGGAATGGGTATTCTCTCCCTTCCTTTCCTTCCTTCCTCCTGCTCCCTCCCTTCTTTTCTCTCCTCCCTCTATTCTTTTTTCTCCTTCCTTCCTTCCTTCCTTCCTTCCTTCCTTCTTTCTTCCTGCTCCCTCCCTTCTTTTCTCTCCTCCCTCTATTCTTTTCTCTCCTTCCTTCCTTCCTTCCTTCCTTCCTGCTCCCTCCGTTCTTTTCTCTCCTCCCTCTATTCTTTTCTCTCCTTCCTTCCTTCCTTCCTTCCTTCCTTCCTTCCTGCTCCCTCCCTTCTTTTCTCTCCTCCCTCTATTCTTTTCTCTCCTTCCTTCCTTCCCCTTTCCTCCCTCCCTCCCTCCCACTCCCTCTCTTTTCTCACCTCCCTCCCTCCCTCCTTTCCTTCCTCTTCCCTCCCTCCCTTGAGCCTTGGAGGTCTTCTAGCCCAACCCGCTCCTTCGTTGACCCAAAGAGGAGGGGAGAAGCAAGATCCTGACTCCAGGTAGTCCTTGACTTACAACAGTTCATTTAGTGACTGTTCAAAGTTACAATGGCACTGAAAAAGCGACTTAGGACTATTTTTCAGACTTACGATCAATGCAGCATCCCATAATCCAAATTCAGACGCTGGGCAACTGACTCGCATTTGTGACAGTTGCAATCCAGGCTCACAGGATTCCCTTTTGCGACCTTCATGACAAGCAAAGTCAACAGTGAATCCAGATTCACTTAACGACCATGTAATTCACTTAACAGATGCAGAGATTTACTTAACGACAGCAAGAAAGGTCATAAAATGGAGCAAAACTCAATAACTGTTTCACTGAACAACAGAAATTTTGGGCTCAACTGTGGTCATAAGTGGAGGACTACCTGTATAGCTTTACTATTGAAAAAGGTCCTGGCTGTGGCCTCCGTTTCTTCCTCTGCCACCTCTTGTGGTTGTATTTATTTTATTTTACTTTATTTATTTATGTAGCTTCTGCTTGGAACAGTACAAGTAGTCCTCAACTTATGACCACACTTGAGCCCAAAAGTTGTGTCTGCTACACAAGATAGTTGTTAAGTGAATTTTGCCCCATTTTATGTCCATTTCCTACCCTCCAAACGATGCTACAGGGCCCTGCACACCAGAACAACTAGACACAAGGACAGTTTTTTCCCCCCTGAACGCCATCACTCTGCTAAACAACTAATTCCCTCAACACTGTCCAAGTATTTAGAAAGTCTGCGCTACTATTACTATTGATCTTCTCATCCCTCCCCTCCCACTTATGACTGTATGACTGTGACTTTGTCGCTTGTAACCTTAGGATCTATACTGACTGCTTCCTAGTATGATTTGATGGCTTATTTGTACCCTGTGACTATCATTAAGTGTTGGACCTGATGATTCTGGACTCTTGACGGATGTCTCTTTTCTTTTATGTGCACTGAGAGCATTTGCACCAAGACACATTCCTTGTGTGTCCAATCACACTTGGCCAATAAAAGAATTCTCTTCTCTCCTGTTCTATTCTATTCTATTCTTATTCTATTCTATTCTATTCTTATTCTATTCTATTCATTCCCTCAACACTGTCCAGCTATTTACAAAGTTTGCGCTACTATTATGGTTAATCTTCTCATCACTCCTATCACCTCCTCCCACTTGTGACTGTATGACTGTAACTTTGTCACTTGTATCCTTGATTTATATTGACTGTTTCCTAGTATGATTTGATGGCTTATTGTGCCCTCTGACTATTATTAAGTGTTGTGCCTGATGATTCTTGACGAATGTCTCTTTTCTTTTATGCGCACTGAGAGCATTTGCACCAAGACAAATTCCTTGAGTGTCCAATCACACTTGGCCAAGAAATAATTCTCTTCTATTCCTATTCTATTCCATTCCATATATTTCTATTCTATTTTCTATTCTATTCTATTCCATTCTATTCTATTCTATTCCATTCTAATTCCTATTCTATTCCATTCCATATATTTCTATTCTATTCCATTCCATTCCATTCTAATTCCTATTCTATTCCATTCCATATATTTCTATTCTATTTTCTATTCTATTCTATTCTATTCCATTCCATTCCATTTCATTCTAATTCCTATTCTATTCCATTCCATATATTTCTATTCTATTCTATTCTATTCTATTCCATTCTAATTCCTATTCCTATTCTATTCTTGCTGAAGCTTTCCCCTCTTTGACTTTACATGTTGGAAGCTGGTTTTCCTGGGCAGGTTGTGCAAGGCTTTGGACGATAAACTTTGCAAACCTTGGGGATTTGCCCAATCTTCTCCTCTGCACACACTCAACACAGACACACACCATGCACCTTCCTTAGTTATGCATCTTGCACAAATGGCCTAAGCAGACAGCCGGAAGAGTTAAAGTCGACAGTTGGCTAATTCTCTGCTGCTACTCTGCTATCTTGCCCACAATCCCAACCACCAATAGTGACTTCCCTATGGTCCGCACCCCCCCCCCCCCGGCAACCCTCGGGTCTCGAACACGAGGAGCCCTCACGCTGCCAACTCGAGGCCCCGCCCCGGCCGTGACGTCAATAAAGCGCCTCTTTGTTTACGCATGCGCCCCCCGCGCCTCCATGGGAGTCGTAGTCCTCCGTCGCCGGGCGCCGCGGCGCCAAGCCGAGCGCGGCCCTCTCCCGAGGACTACATCTCCCATGAGCGCCCCCTCGCCTCCCTTGGCGCGTCCCCTTCGCAGCGGCGCCGCCTCCCTTGCCGCCATCTTGGTTTCCCGGGTGACTGGAGGAGCTGGCCGGCAGCGCTGGGCTGACCGAGGAGCGCGATGCTGGCCTGCCTGATGACCAGGCCCGGCCCGCCCGCTCTCACCAGGCTCCTGCGGGCCGCGGCCGGGCGCCCGCTCGCCAAACGCGGCACGTCGGCGCGGGAGTCGGCCTGCCGAGAAGACGCGGCCCGCTGGGCCGAGCGCGAGGAGCCGCGCTTCCCCGCGGCCGCCGCTAGGGGCCGCTCTGGACCCGTTGGGTCGGCGGAGGAGCAGCGCGGCGCCGAGCTGCGGAAGAGGCGGCCGGCGGCCTGTAGGGGGCGCCCTCTGGCCGGCGGAGAGCCCTGGGGGGGCTTATGGGAGCCCGGCGTGGCCCCCACGGGGTCCGTCTGGCTGCCCAGGCTGCCCCGCCCGGAGGAGGCTGGAGAAGAGGAGGCGGCCAAGGTGGGGGCCCCCCCGCAGGAAGAAGCCCCCGGCCGGCCTCGCTTGTGGCCCAACCCGGCGCCCGCAGGCCGCCAGCGCCGGAAGGAGAGCCGGGGTCGCCGGGCCAGGACACCCGCCCTCCCAGCCTCGGCCCTGGCAGCCGCCGGGCTGGCCCTGTGCTACAGCCGGGGACACCTGGGCAAAGGTGACTGGAGGGGGCGGGGGCTCCTTGGGAGGGGGAGGGAGGGGGACCCCCCCAAGACCCTCTGAGGACCGAGGGGGGGTCCCCTCTGCAGGTGACTCTGGCTTGGAAAGCCCCCCCTCCCCAAAAGTGCCCCTACGGGGAGGGGGGCAGGTGCCCCTGGCGTGGGGGTGCCCGTTGGATGGATTGGCACAGCCAGAGGGGACCCAGCCCTGACCCCCCCAAGAGGGTCTGGGGGAGCCTCCCCTTCCCAAGGGGAGGGGGGCTGAGGGGGCACTCCCAGGTCGAGGGCAGAATAGGTGGGACCTTGGAGGTCTTCTAGTCTAGGGGTCTCCAACCTTGGCCCCTTTAACCCTGGTGGACTTCAACTCCCAGAATTCCTCCTCTTCCAGTCACGGTAGCTCAGGAGTTCTGGGAGTTGAAGTCCACCAGTCTTAAAGTGGCCAAGGTTGGAGACTCTTGGAATAGACAGACAGACAGACAGATAGGGATAGAATGAATAGACAATATAGATAGATCAATAGATAGCTGAGATAGACCAGGGGTCTTCAAACTTGGCAGCTTCAAGACTGGTGGACTTCAACTCCCAGAATTCTTCCTCCAGTCATGTTAGCTCAGGAATTCTGAGAGTTGAAGTCCACCAGTCTTAAAGTTGCCATGTTTGAAGGCCCTTGGCTTAGTGCTTCTGCAAAAGGCGGCAGCTGGTAGCACGGTTGCTCCAGGGCTGAGGGAGAGGCCAGCCAAGCTGCCCCCCCCCCCCCCCCCCCGGTTGCCCGGGTCCAGGGGGACACTGAGGTCCATGGCACAGGATATGGCCCACTTGACAGAGGCAGAGAGGGGATCTCGGGGCCCCAGGATAGGCAGTCCTCGACTTGCGACCACAACAGGGACCCATTTTGCCAAGCAAGGTGATTGTTAAATGACACCCCACCCCACCCAAAAAAAATGTTCTATGCCCTTTTTCATTGCACAGTTGTTAAGCGAATCAAGCCCTTGTTAAGCGAATCGGGCATTGATTTTAAGCGTTGATTTTACCTGCCAGAAGCCAGTTGGGAAGGTCACAAATGGGGGTCACGACCCTGGGACAGTGCAAGGGCAAGGAGTGACAACGAGCGTTCATTCAGCCACTGCCCGAAGCGCCTGAACGTTGACCACGGGACCGTGGGGAATGCTGCAGTGGTCGTAAGTGTGAGAGCCAAGATCATAAACCACTTTGGGCGGTCTTGTTGCAGGCAGTGGCTAAATAAACAGTCGTAGGTCGAGGACTCCTCCCTGCTGCAGATGGGCCTCTTCTCCTTTCCCTAGGGGGGCTTTCAGCGCTGGTCTCCTCCTCTTCCTCACGGCTCCTTCTCTCTTTCGCCTTTTTCCAGACGAGGCCCTCCTGGAAGCCGTGCGACTCAACAGTGTTCCTGAAGTGGAAAGGTGAGGCCTGGCGGGGGAAGGGAGGGGGGGCAGGCGCTGCCTGGGGGTCCCTGCCAGCTCTGCACGCCCCTGTTGTGCCTGTGCTGGTGCCGAACGTGGAATTACGGGGCTCGTGCTTCCTCTGAAAGAGGCCGCTTGGCTCGCTTGCTTGAGATAGCTATAGCACCTGGACGTATATGCTGGTTTATAAATGTCAGCCTGTTTCCCCCCAACAATCAGGATGGTGGATTTTACCCACCTCGGAAGGAGGGAAGGCCGAGTCAGCCTGGAGCTGGTCAGGATCGAACTCCAGGCTGTGGGCACAGTTAGCCTGCAATGCTGTACTCTAACCACTATGCCACCACAGCTAGATATAGATAGATAGATGATAGACAGATAGATAGATATAGATGATAGATCGATCAATAGATCAATAGATGATAGATATTGCTAGGTAGGTAGGTAGGTAGGTAGGTAGGTAGATATAAATAGACAGCAATAGCAAAGGTTTAATAGCAAAAGCACTTAGACTTATGTACCGCTTTATAGTGCTTTACAGCCCCCTCTAAGCGGTTTGCAGAGCCAGCCTCTTGCCCTCAACAATCTGGGTCCTCATTTTACCCACCTCAGAAGGACAGAAGGCTGAGTCAGCCTTGAGCCAGTCAGGATTGAACTCCAGGCTGTAGGCAGAGCTCCCTCCGGATCAGGACCCCTCTGGTGCTTGTGGAAAAAAAAGTTTAGTATTTCTGTTCAGTATTTCTAGCATCCTGAAAAATAGACACGTTTTGACCCTGGCGTTTTTATGTATTTATTTGTTTCCTGCTTTTATTATTTTTACAAAGCTTAACTCAAGGTGGCAGACGTATATTTGTAAGCCCCCTGGAGTTATCGAGTGAGTTGAACAGCCGTATAAATTCTCTTAAATCGATAAGTAAGGCATCTAATACTCCTTCCTCCTCCTCTCCACAAACCCTTTCTAGCACTGATGATGTTCCCTCATTGGGTCATGAAATGTTTGCAAGAAAACACCAAGCTCAGGGAGCATCCGGAATCATCATCTCCTCCTCCTCCTCCTCCTCCTCCTCCTCCTCCTCCTCCTCTCCCCACAGCAACAACTCTGACGTTGGTTGGGCTGGGACGGAGAGACTGGCCCCAAATCACCTAGCCAGCTTTCACGCCCAAGGCAGGACTAGAACTCCCTGTGTCCTGGTTCCCAGGCCAGCACCCTCAATCACCAGACCCGACTGTCCCTCATCTCAGAGGCCTAGATTCCATTTCAACCGTCTTTGTGGAAGCCTCGGTTTTGGAGCCTTCGCTCTCCGTAGAACGGCGTCTGGCCCGGTTTTGGCGGCCCTGGAGGTGCTGGCTGGGGCCGGATGAGGGGCCCTTGGACCTCTCCCCGCTTGGGCAGTTGGCGGGGCGAGGCCGGGCCCCGCTTCCTTGCAGAGGCTCTTTGCGGCAGAGACGGGGGTTCTTCAGCCCGGCCCGGCTGGGGAACCGTAACCCAGGGAGGGGGGAGAAGAAATGGGATCTGCCCACCTCCCAAGAGGAGCGTTCTTTGTTCGGGCTCCGGAGTTCAAGTTTGCCGCTCCTTCTCCTCCTCCTCTCCCCTCACCTGCCGGGCGGGCGAAGCGCTTGGCTAGCAGCCCTGAGCAGAAAGTCAAACATGCCCTTTGGGCTTGGGCTTTCAAGCCACGGCTCCCGGAGTCACTCAGCCAGAACTCTGAATAGAGGCTCCATATGTCTTGGGCGGGGGGCCTGGGGTGGGGTGGGGGGGATGCCCGGGGAGGTCTCAGGGTCATCTGCCTTTGCAGGGCCGGGGGGTGGGTGGGCGGGGGGACTGCTGAAGAGCCCAAACACATCCGGAATGCTGCTACGGGGCGTGGGGGGGGGGACACCCCGCCCCATCCGAAGGCCTTTGGATCAGGTGGGGGCTGGTGCAGGTGGGGGAGGGAGCCGCCCCCCCCCCCCCCGATTCCTGCGAGGGGAGGATCTGTAAGGGGAGCCCTCGCCTGGGGCTCTTCCTTCCGCCTACTCCTGGTGCAGGCAGGCGCCTCTGCTGACCACGAGGGAGGAGAATCTTCGTAGCTCGGGCTCCTCGGCGCTCTCCGAGCTCGGTGGTTTTGCTGGTGGTTTTCTCGCAGACGTTTCGTGACCCAACTCGGCAACATCTTCAGTGCTAGGAGGGAAGTGGGCTTGTGGAGTGGACGAGGAGGAGGACTGTGGGGTCCTTGGGGCTCTGGGAGCCTAGGGGTTGGCTTCCACATGTTTCATAAACCCAACTCAAGTCAGGGTGAGGAGGAGGAGGAGGACTGTCAGCTCCTGGGGGCTCTCTGAGCTTGGTGGTTTCGTGACCCAGCTAGGGAACATCATCAGTGGAGAGAAAGCAAATGGAAGGAGGAAGAGAGACTATTTGAAGCACAAGGTTGAAACTGTGGGGTCCTTGGTGCTCTCTGAGCTGGGTGGTTTCCTTGCAGACGTTTCGTGACGCAGCTAGGCAACCTCATCAGTGCTAGAAGGGGACGGGGTTTACTCTCATTTTATACCCTGGGGGCTTCCCCTGGGAGTGTTCTTGGGAGTCCTTTCATTAGGCTGTTTACATGAGTTGGTCGTTTACAGCTTGGTTGTTGGCCTGGTCTAAATCCACGGTACATTTCTACAGACACCAACAGGGCAAGCTGCGTAAACAGGGATCAAACTCCCCTCCCTTCTAGCATGTGTGATGATGATCCCTAGTTGGGTCGTGAAATATCTGCAAGAAAACGAGCTCAGAAAGCACCAAGGACCTGGTTTCTTCCTGATGTGTGTGTGTGTGTGTGTGAAATTGTCCCATCCTGGTGGGATGGAGATGGGCGGCTGAACCGGCCTCCGCCTCCGCCCCTACAGCCCCCGCTACCTGGTGCCTCTTCCCCTTGGTTGCATCCAAGTGGTGACTAGATGGCAGCAGAGACTGTCAAGAGTCACTCAATATTCTCCCGCAGGACCTTCGCTCTAGGAACGGAGGAACCCTGGGAACTGAAGTCCACCCGTCTTAAAGTTGCCGAGCTTGGGGACCCCCCCCCTGCCGTAGGACGGCTCTCCGTAACGAGAGGTTCGGGGGATGCAGCTCACAGACTTTGCAGACTTTGTGGTTATTTTAGTTAGCCATTCAGGGAGCTGCATTCATTCTGTGTGGCTCCAGGTTGGGAGAGGGAAACCTGGCTTGGAGTTTACGCCTCTTCGGGGGTGCGGTTCCCCCCCCCCCAATTCCTTGGGTATCCTTCCCTTGGAAATTGCGGGCGGAACACCCGCCGAGCTTGACCGGAGAATAATATTTAATTAGCAATAAAAAAATTGTCCTTGCTGGTAAATAACATCCGTCTAGGAGCTGAGCGCCGTCCGTCCCTTTATCGATCGGTCGTGATTAAATCGGACAGGGAATATATTAACGGCCATCATGAATCCTCCGGACATAAAATGCGGTCGTTTCACAGAGATGCTCAGCCGCTCCGCCTCAACAGGCTGGTTTTTATTTTTATTTTATTTTTTTATTTTAAAAAAGCACCACCCCCACCCCACCTATAATTGAACCATCAAGCAGCACGCATTACGCTGCTCGCTGGAGCTGTGGGTTTTTTTTTTTTCCCAGATCATCTTCGAACTGCCAAGCAACCTAGCTCAACCCATTGCCCTCCAGAGAAAGTGGACTTCACCTCCCATAATCCTAAATTGGACCGGTGGGAACTCCAGCCCAAAATCCCCAGAGAGCAGCAGGTTGAGAATTTATGGCAGGGCTCTCCAACCTTGGCAACTTTAATCCGGAAAGACTCCAACACTCAGAATTCCCCAGCCAGCTTTGCTGGCTGGGGAATTCTGGGAGTTGAAGTCTTTCCGGCTTAAAGTTGCCAAGGTTGGAGACCCCCTGATTTATGGCATCATTGCTGAGTGAGCATCACAGGTTGATGTGTTGTGCCTTAGCAACTGGGGATAGATTCTGTTCAGAAAGACCTGACCCCAGCCTGGCCTCTTAAGAGCCTCGGTGGTGCATTCGTAGTCGCTGTAATTGAAGCATCCTTTTCCTCTTTTCCTTCCAAGCAGGTTGAGGAACCTTAAAATAAAAGATCCTATTTGTAGCTCAGGGTTGAACTGGGGGGGGGGGGGTCTTTGGTGCTCTCTGAACTGGGTGGTTTCTTTGCAGATGTTT